ACATTCCTGGCTGCCTGAGGTGTTTTCAAAATGGCTGAAGTTCAAAAGTCTCTCAAGCTGTTTACTAAATATTCTATAGGCGGCACAATCTCGTTTCACTCCCTGCTGAAGAGCATAGGCAGGGATTCAAACTGGGTGCCATCTGTCAGCTGAGTCATATGGGACTGGAGGAAAATGGCTGTAGAGGTGAAGTGTGGCTGAAACTTTCCATTTAACTTCATTGAATTCACTTAATTCATTACTGTGAGGAGATTTCATGAGCCCTATTCTGGCTGCTGTTCCAACTCCCTCTGACGTTTCACCTTTAATCTCAATGTTGCAGAGGTGTTATGGGGTGACAAAGTGATCCCCTCTGTACCATCTTCAGAAGTAGTAACGGAGACGTTATCAGAGATTGAATCAGCGGTGCCAGCGTGGGAGCGCAGCGCTGTGTTTGTGCACGTTTGTCCGTGTGTGTATATGGAGCTCCTGTTGTGCCGTGCTTCCTCAACACTGAAACCCCAATATGAATTCACAGACTGAGACAAGGATTTTATGCCATCACTGAATCAATATGAATGTATAAAGACGTAACAATGGCTGAGTTTAGTTTTGCGGAAACACATTCAGAAAAGTGATGGAAGTCTCTTATCACTCAATGGTTGCTTAAACAGAATTAGTGAAAGCTGGCATCGATTCACGTATCCCGAGACACATATCTCGTCAATCAGGCGATGATAGATGATGATCACTGATGGGCTCTGTGATTTGTTGGTCACATAAGTAGTCAATCAATCACATCAATAATGATTTCAGTCTGTTACCAGACCAGCTCAAACCTCCTAACAGGAGCTTTAAAATACTTTTATATGCTTTGGTTTGTTCCTGTTATTTTGTACTTAATTGTCAAGTTAGGCTGACTTGTAAAAAAGAGCGACCTCTATTCTTCAAGTAAAGGAATCACCCATACCCTCGGCCAAATTCAAAAAATACAATCCTCCTAAGCCATTTTCTGAACCCTGCTTCTCCACTAGGAATTTGCACGCAGTCCCTAAAAGTTGAAGACATTGTAAGTAAAACACACATTATAAATATGACACACAAAAAAACAAAAAACAGAATAGTTACGAATGGGATGAGAGTCAAACTTCATGGTCCCTCATTAATGCAGGTCAATGTCTCTTGTCATTTGGTCTAGAAAACAAAGTTGTAAACATTAATCACATCAACAGATCGGCCCCTCTTTTGAGCCCATGCACAGCTGTTGGTCCTCCACTGAGGGGCTCCTGGGGGCCCTCAGCCCTCTGGACTTAGAGTCAAGTCTATCAAGGCAATCTGCAGTAATTACAAGATGATCCACAGGTGATGGAGTACCAGCAGCTTAACAGTGAGAGAGGTTCTCGTTTTATAATAATACCCCATTTGATTTCCCATGCACACGCTCACAGAGTGAATGTTTTTCAGTGTAAAACTTTTTCCTATCACAGCCGAAACAACATCTGCCATGGCAACAGTTGCATTGTTAGATCTGTCCAGACTCTAGCTCACATGTATGGCAATAGAACATGCATTATCTTCTCTTCTAAAGCCTGGCTCACACTGTGCGATTTTTCCCCGATTGTATAAAAGTCGGGATGGAGTGTTGACAATTGTTAATAAAGTTTCCTTTGAAAACTCCAACGGACGGCGGTTGGTGAAAGAGAAGGAAGTAGAAGTTGTTGTAGGATAGATGAAAGTAGATACAATAGTAGCTATATGGATACAAGTTTCAGAAAAGTGCTGCACTAATGATCTGTACATGGGCGGTTCTAGGCAAGGGCCAACAGGGGGCAGTGCCCCTGTAACACTGAGCTTGGTCCCCCCTGTGGCCACCCCTCCAAAAGGAAATGAGCCCACCCTCAGAACACATACACAGTATTTGACTCAACAACTGGACTCACAATCTAGTATTAAATACTGTTACTGACACAAATGTAAATCATGGTATTTTATGTTGTGGTATTTAGTGATGTGCGTTATTATTTGGCATCATTTCTTTTGAAAGCGATCATCTTTGTCTATTTTTCACCTATAGGTTTAATGTTTCCTTCTGACAAAACAACTGGCCCCAGTTTGGCCCCCTCAGTAAAAGTGGTCTAGAACCGCCACTGGATCTGTACCTTAAACTGACTGCCATGACTACAGTCCTCCCTTGTATCTTGTGATTATATTGTAGTCCCACACAACTTCTGCTGGACCCTTTTCATGACGTAATCGTCAAGATTTTTAAATTCTAAATATCAAACATGTTTCCCCGATCTTGAGTGAGTGGTACAAAGATCCAATCTTAACGTCCCCGATTGCCGGGGACGTTAAGATTGGATCTTTGTACCACTCACACTACAAGATAATCTGAGCAGATAATCGGGTCCGAGCAGCCTGGAGTCAGGAGCAACCCTGTGATTGTCAGGGGAAAGAAGAATCGGAGCTCAAATCGGCCCGATTATTCTTCACTGTGAGCCAGGCTTTAGCCTTCATGTAGCTTATATTCACTTGTAGTTTCAGCTTTTACAAACACTGGATGGTGTCAACAAAGTGTTGTACAATCTGACTTGAAAGGGCAGCAAAAAAAGAAAATGCAAGTGAATGGAAGTTGTTAAACTTGTGTGAGGCTACATTTACGTAGTCCATCTTTTTCTTCCTGCATTTAAACTACCCATACAAACACGTTTTCAGAGATCTTTTATTGATAATGTGCAAATTGTCAGTGTAAGAGAGAAAAAAAACAGATTGTAAATTAAATCAAGAGGACAACAGCTTCCTGCTGCTCGACATTCAACAGGTTCCAGGCTGATGGACCACTTGATGAAATCAACCCTGAGCACAGAGACTGTGCAGCATTCAAGTCATCAAAAATGTTGGGCTTCTTGATTAAGATGTTCTTGAGGAAGCACTCAATACAATCGGATAAAAAATAAGTTAATTTAGCAAGCAGCGGGGTTACTCTGGGTCTGCCACTTCCCAATCAAGGCAGAAATAAAGGATATAAAATTTGATCCATTGTGAGGTTTTTATTTTCATATCATGATACGGCTGTTCTTGGATTCATCGTGCTGCGTGTGTGGAGCCTGTTTCAGATGTGCAGTTTAAAGCACACACACAGGAATTACAGTATAAAAGCTGAAAGTACAGCTCTGTGATAGATTTTGCTCCCTTTGTTATTACAGTGAATGTGTGTGCAGGTGTCCAAGACGGCTCGATCTCCTGTGATTAGTTTAATGAGAGGAAGATTAGAGGCCAGCTGCGTTATGGAAAATCCAGTTACACTTTCTAAAAGTGAAAGGTATTAATCACAGGACGTCATTGCTGAATCTCTGCATGGATGTTTCTGTTTGTGCAGGAGAAGTAGGGCTAGGTTTCTGAGCACAACTACACTTTAAATACCTCTGCATGTAAAAAGCTTAAAACAGGTGTCAATGATGGATGCTTTTAAAGGCTTTTTTGTTTGTTTTTACCTTGCAGCTAAAAGCAGACCCATGTACCTGTTAGAGACTCCTCAGAGAACTAAAATTGTTTGATGTTACAGATCAGAGATGTAACAGTCACATTTGAATGTTGAAAAAGTTCAATGTAGTTAAGAGATTTTGTAAGGTCGATCAAAAACTAGGAAATAAGCTTAGAATTCAAGCACAGTGGTGGGTGTTGAAACATAAGAGAGTGCATCTCTGAAGGCCATTTAATCAGTATTGTAATTTTACAACATAATATGTTGCTCTGTGCTCATCGCTGGACTTCAGCAGCATACCAGGAGGGAAAATGTTTTGTCTGAAAATATCAGCGTGTTGACCCGTCACAGAAAACGTTTTAAATTGCAGCCACAAAACGGTGTGAAATGTCAGATGGACTCTTTGATCGAGCTGCTGCCAAAGCACACTTTTTTTTTTCCAAGCAGAACATCCTTCTTGAAAAAGCCCCAAAGTGCAGCAGTGTAGTGAGTTTGTGTCAGACTAAAAATACCAGCTATTCATTAAACTTCAATTTCTGCAAATACAAAGACTCATGAGAGCTCTTTTATTTTTACTTAAAGTAAACAAAGGAGGAGGAAGAGAAGTATTGTAATGGTTGCTAACAGTTTGCTTTAAATACTCAAGTCATGTCTAAAAAGCAGGGAATCTTTAAGAACCTCACAGGACAAACAGTCCAAAAATAAACAAGGGATGAGATTCACTCTCACCGATCAACTGCTTATGAAGGATACTTCAAAGCTTTTTGCCAGAGGTTTTTTTTTTCCACTTAATCATAGGTTTGCTTTTCTGGTCAGATCAAAGCAAGATGAGACAGGCAAGGACCCTAGTGCATTTCAGCCCAGATAAAACACAAAAGCTTGTTTCTTTGATGCATGTACTTATAGCATGATTTGCATTCTTAAGGGTTTCTGATTTACATTCATGACTCTGCGTGTATGGAATGTGTTGTCTGCATGCATATGAGACTGAAGCAGCTAAGGTTCCGAATTCAAGAAAATAAACTTTATTTCCACAGTGAATAAAGGTGGAGAACATTAAATGGTATCTGCAGAGTTGTTATTACTCACTGCTATTACTGCGTTAACTTTTAGGAATAACTGATTATTCCTATACTGCATCGATTGCAGATACTGGAACAAGAGAAGTCCAGGAGCAGGCACAATTAGGTGATTTATAAACAAGCCTCACAGCGAGGAGGTTCCTGGTTTGAATCCCAGTGCGAGTGTGGCGTTTGCATGTTCTCCCTGTGCATGCATAGGTTCCCTCCGGGTACTACAGCGCCCTCCCACAGTCCAAAGACATGCACGTTAGGTCTTTGGTGACTCTAAATTGACCGCAGGTGTTAATGTGAGAGTGGCTGGTTGTCTGTCTCTATATGTCAGCCGCGATTGACTGGCAAATAGTCTGGGGTGAACCCCGCCTCTCGCAGCTGGGATCGGCTACAGACCCCCCGCAACCCCGAACGGGAAAGAAAGTAGTAAAAGACAATGGATGGATAATTCAAACTAAATAATGGGCAGTTTTAATAAACCTTTAATATCATAAGACAAGATACAGAATCAGAATTGTTGCAATAGGAATTTGAAATGAAATTGAATAAGAAAAGGCTTTAAAAAAACTACACTGTTATCTTTATTTTCAGACAGGCAAAGGAACAAAATGCAGGATTCAGTTTGACTTGTTACTGAATACAATGTTACAGAAACACGTCTTTGTGTGCCCTTGGTGAAATGAGCAGTAGCCTCACACGTCAAATTCATTGAATAGAAATGTCCTGTCTGAACCAGGGTCAATGGAAATGCTGCTTTAAAGAGATGAAAGGAAAAAAAACTTTAAAAGAGACATTTGTTCAGATAAGTCATTAAAAGGCTTGCACTTTTTTCCTTTTCTCACATGCAAATTACCGCATTCACCAACATCATATGTTTTCTCTAACAGTCACACTCATGACTTTTGATGAAAAAAAACAAACAAAGGGAACACTAAACACTAGATTAAAAAAATACTCTTGTTTTTTCATGATCTAACAAACATCCATGAACCTTTTCCCACACCAGGAAGAAAAGAGTTCTTTTAAAGGGCCTGAACCTCTCACACTCCCCCTGCTCAGACAGCCACAACGACATTTAGCCCCTCCCCAGGTTAAGGTCCCATGAAAAAGGCCACCTTGAAACAGATCTATAGATCCACCAACACTCTGCTGGAGGAACATCAGCTCTCCTGCTTGTCTTTGACCAAAAGGGCTGTGTGCTGCCCCCCACTGGAGACCATCAGTACTGCACGGTTCTCAAGCTGCTTGCCTGTCATCTTCACAGGGCTCCATTCGTCGTCCTCCTCTCCTGTGCCGAGCTGCATGTTGGTGCCCATGCCCCAGGCGTACACAGACCCTGGAGAAGCACAACCAACAGGAGGAAGAGTCAGCATCTTTTGTTCCCTCTCGGCTTATTGCAAACATTCAACCAATGAAGCTGACACACAAAATCTAAGAGTCATATCATACAGAAATGTCTCATTTTGTCATCATGGAATGACAAATGGTTGCAGTTGACTCTCTTATCAGTAAGCAATACAACACTCTTATGAAGCTGCATTTTTCTTTGTTTCTCACCTTCTTTGGTGACAGCGTAGCTCACCGATGCCCCACATGACACGCCGCAGGCCGGCTCAATGCCCATGACTGGCGAAGGCTCAGTCGCCTCTTCAGCCTCTGGCCCCAGACCCAGACGACCATACTCCGCTCTGCCCAGGCTGTAAACCTTTCCTGAAGAAGTACAGAAAAAAGGAAAAATTTCTAAGTTTTTTACTTAACAGTTTCATATGACATATTCCAACTCATTATCTAAGTATAGATTTCTCAGAGGTGTTTCGTAAATTCATTATACTATATATTTTTTATTTAGTTTTGAATTTTTTATTTTTTGCATGTCTGCTGTTTCCTTCACGTGTTATTTTAATCAGGGATTGGTTAAAAAAAGACATGTCAAACACTGTCAAAACCTCTTCACAGAGATTTCACAACAACACTTAAAGCAACACAATTATTCCACCTACACACTACTGAGGAACATAAACAGCTTAATACTGGTGTCCCAGTGTGTGATATAACACAGGTGCAATGTGTAAACAAACAGGTTGAGCTTTACATACATAAATGCAGGCCCGGTTGTTCACACACATACAGCCATGTGCAATAAATTGTAGATATTTTTGTGTCTGTTACTAACGCTACTATTGGCTAATTGAACGTGATTGAAAACTCTCCCCAATTCATTGTGCATTGCAAGCTGTGCTGGGATACAAGCGCAGAACAGGCTGGCAGAGCCACTTTTTAACATCTTTAGGTTATAATAATTCATATAAAGAAAACAGGGACAGAGTGACTTTGCCACACTATTAAGCCTCCCTGCATTCATCATTGCAAACGAGGCTTAACAGGTGCGTAAACATTATTCTTTGAACTGGAAATACATAAGCAGCTAAAGTCTGATTAGCATACACAGAATGTTTTAAAAGCCCCAATGTGGATCTGGTTCAGACCTGGCCTGGATAGTTGGAGCTTACCTTCAGAATCAAGGCAGATGGAGTGATGCAGCCCTCCATAGAAGCCCACCCAGAAGGTGGTGGAGTTTCTGAAGCATGTCAGTTTGACAGGGAAAAAACACGGCTTGGTGCTTTTATTGCCTGAATAGGAGAATTCAAAGTGAGGACACAAACAATCAAGTTATGATTTCTAATGCCATTACCTTAGAACTGACTGAAAGTATATAAGCCAGATGACCATAGTTACAATCTAAGAAATAGTATTAATGTACATTATGACTATCAGTGTTGTGCCATACTGACCCAGCTGATGGTAGTTGGAGAGTCCAAATCCATAAACATGGCCTTCACTTGACACAACAAAAGTGTGGTATGACCCGCAGAAGGCATCAACGAAGCAAACTTTCTTTTTGAAGTAAACGATCCGTGGCTGAAGCAACTGGCCTGAAAAAACACACGCAGGATATACTTCACACACGAGACAAACTAAATATGACCTGGTGTAATTTTAATCCAACAAGAGTTGGTCATTAGGGCTTTGACAGCATTGTGTTACTTACTGAGGCCTCTTCTGCCTCCTCTGTCTGACAAACACCAAGGCACTCTTCCCAGCTGCCCCTGCTCTGCATTGCCCAATGAGTAAAGATTTCCATCCCGTGTAACCATTATTAGGTGGTCGCTACCTGTTAAAGCATTCAACAGTTAAAATCCAGAAAGTCAAAACGTGGATAAGTTAACATGCTATGCCACTACAAAAAGATGACACTAAGGAGGAATGTTTCTCACCTGATGCAATTTTCAAGACAGTCTCCGTCATGGGGACTTTGACTGGAACGGTAGATGTTTTCATGGGCTCCAGAAGGCCGATAACACCGTTGCTATCCTGAGGGAAAATCAGGTCCAGCCTTTTAATGGTTTAACTCACTCCTCACATAAAGTAAATGCTAAGGACAAGCTAAGGACCCCTCCCCCCCCCCACCACATTCATGAAAAGAGAAAAAGACAAAACGGTGAGTGGAGTCTGCAGAGAGATGTTAGATAGAGAACAGGGAAGGCAGCCATTATGTCACCAACCTTCTTTATGTTTTCTAATGATACCACTTTATTTAACATAGGAATATCCTTTGTCAACAAGTGGATAGGTTTTTCCTGGTAAACTTTTTCTCTTTGAATATGTCATAATGCTTCCATATTTTAACTTGAATACAGAAACCCTGGAAGAGTATAAGAAGACGTCAAAGTGACTTATAAAGACAACTGCATTAGAATATAGTGAAGAGAAACAGAGCAAGATAAAAAATGGCTGCAATAAACAGGCAGGATACAACACAGACACAAGACGACAGAGTGCCTCTGCTTTGAGAAAGGAACTGAGGCAGACGGGATGGAGACAGAGATATTACAGAGTTCTGTAACACAGGCAATGCAACTGAAGACATCCAATCCTTTTTCTAATTCCCTCTGAAGAAGAATAAGTTTATGTATAGAACAGAATTCTTATTGTAAGTTATATATTAGACAACAACACAACACATTGTTGATGGAGACAACACTGAGGGACCGTCTGAGCATGATTTGAACAAACACAAGTGGGAATGCAGAAGATAGGCAGTGGTGATAGACGGGTAATTGCTGGGTGCCATTGAGTATTAATATTGAAAACCAAGGAGTAATCTAGCAGGAGTGATAAGTACCAAGAAGCCAAAACAATTAAGAACGTTATTACGAAAGGATCCTTAATGTATGTTTGTCCTCATAAACCAAAAAAAAAAAGGAAGACAAAAAAGGCTGATACTTAAACTTCCAAATATTTGATCATGTAGCCACAGGTCAAAGAGGAAACAGAGAAGAGCGAGGTGAGCATGAGAAAAGAGTCAAAGCTCAGACAATGGAACGATCATCTCTCCTGCAGAGGTAATCAGGGAGCTCCGAGAGGAGAGTCACCTTTCATACAGGATCAAGAAAAGAAACTGCTGAGAAGATGTGCAGCAGGCAAGAGTCACCTAGCTGCTTTGTATGGTGTTCTTTAGAGCACAGCAGGGGGTCTTAACCGGGCAAAATTCATTTGTTAGTGTCATTTTAGTTTAACTGGACTGACATTGTAAGAAGTAGTCAACCTAAAGGCTTAGTCTAGAAGAAATCAAGCATCTAATGTTTTTAAAATGTTGCTGAAATTGAACGTACTCAGATTTGATTCGTAAGCAAAAAAACAATCAAACTAGATTTTTTTTGTTACGGGTTATGACGTGTTGTCCCAGGATGAGATGCAGAGACAGTTTAAGGAAACGCCCCTCACTTACACTACAAAGCATGCAATTTATGATCAAACACCTGGATTGAGTACTGTATACAAGTATGCGAGTAAGAAGTTGTAAAAGACAACAGAATAAGAGGATTGGGCAATAGATTGTATTTCTATTGTGGTATCAGTATTTGTAATGAACATGTGGACATCTGACTGATTAGAAGAAGACCTGCATAGACATGTGCCATGCACTCCCTGTTTAAATCATCAGGATGAGGATTATCCTAAACCTAGCAAAATGGCTAAGGAAGAAGAGTGAAAAAAATGTGGTTGATAAAAGACTTAAGTCAAGATGATTAAATAAAAGGACTGTGTCTGTTACTCGAGGTCAAAGGAGCGGCTGTAAATACTGTCACTTTTGACAGTGTTAATTGAAAATAACCGCTCAGTGTAGCTCTACAAAAGCTGCGTTCACTCAATGTGAAAACACATCGTATCTCGACAGGATCTTCAAAATAAAAGTTCCCGTCCTTGTCATGCTTTTAAAGTGAAACATTCATACCAGGTTCCAGAATGTTTTCAGCTGTAGCAACTCAACACAGCTGATACATGTGAAACACAAACTGCAGGAGAGGAACTAAACTTGAATCCTCACAGATTCAGTTAGAAGCTCCAACCTTCTGAGAAGTGAACACAGTGACTTAAAATATATTTCTCTGGTCTTATAAACCAGAAAGCAATTTGATGGTTGACATTTTAAAGGGAGCCTAAAAGCTTGATCATTGAGGATGGATGAAGAATACCTTGTGTGCTTCAATGTTACAACCTGATAAGCGTAAATGAGCCTCCTGTAAATGAGCCTTTCTGTTGCTATTGTTCTGAGCAGGAATGGACTAACCCTGAGAAGACTCATGACTTGTACAAATGAGCTTACAGAGTCATGAGAGTTCAGGTATCAGTGAGGATATCAATGTCTGTTTCCTGTGGCATTAACTGGCTTATTGTTTGATTCTTTGATTCAATGTGCAGACACTCAGGAAAAAAAGAAGAGTTAACACAGTAATATATACATTGGATTAGTAGAAAACTATAGACAATTGTAAATTGTCTGTCGGGATGTGGCTTGGGAATTGGCGGGTCACCGGTTCAAGTCCTGGTTTGAATCAAAGTATAAATGTTGATATAGTTGCTTGAGCGGTGCCAGGCCCCTTCCCAGGTTCTGTAGAGGTGCCCTTGAGCAAGTCAGGTAATCCCCATCGGCTCAGTAGCGCTCCCTGTTGGTAGACCCCTGACTCTGACATGTCTCCATTAATGCATGTCCTGTTTGTGCATGTGTGTATTTCTGACCTGTGTTTGAGTAGCATGTCTCTCAAAGAATATTAAATCTAATTAAAAAAATTAAATGCTCAAGTGAATCATATGATTGACTCTTCGCAATCCTGAAATCAAATATCTTTGCAATGGACTCACCAAAAAGTGCAAATACTGGGCTCCTGATGGTCAAGTGTAAGTGCAAAGTGAATATGGGTACATGATACTTTTACTGATGAGTCAAACTTAGTAATTTAATGATGTTTAGTAAATAAAAAGCTGAATAAATGCTTGGAAAAGCTCTCACACACACAACAAGAACAGTCCTGAAAAGCGGAAGGTCACTTACCCTGAAGGATCCCCAGATGTACACAGTTCCATCTTCTGTGAGTGCAGCTGTGTGGCTGTCTCCTGCAGACACCTGGACCACCTTCTCCTGCAGAGTCACTTTTTCTGGAACCATCTCAGACCCCTCCTCAGATGTGTCCCTCCCCAGAGCCCCCTCGTCATTACAGCCAAAAGTGTAAACCTACAAAGAAAGAAAATAGACATGAGTGTATTTGTAAAATACCACACCCTTACTTATAATGTGAGCAAAGGATATTATGTGTGCAAGTTTAACTGTAAAAGAAGATTTTGGCTTACGTTGCCTGTGTCACTGACACACACAGTGTGCATGCCTCCAGCAAACACTTGTACAATCGTCTCTGGTAGAGGCACAAGGGCTGGCTTCTTCCTCTCGATGATGTCCTGGCCTAGACCCAACTGTCCAACGTCCCCCTGGCCCAGGACAAGAACCTGACCAGCCTCCTTACCATGACTCTTGTGGGAAACTATAGCACACAAACACACACACAACTAATTATATAAGCGATTGTTTAGTTTGATCTAAGCTGCTGTTATTCTAACAAGGTCAAACTTGACTGTGGTATGAAAAAAGAACAACGCGAGGCAACTGGTTGAAAACGTTGTGGTTGGGTGCAGCATGCTTGGTTTTTTTTGAGGGGTCGAGTTTTGCAAATGTAGTCTTACTTATTTTTTATAAGCAAGGTTAGAAAGCTTAAAACAATTAATTAAAATATCTCACAAATAACTGATAAAACTGCATTAACTGAGCAGAAACATGACATTAGGCGAGTATTATCCTTCATCGAGTCTCTTTTAAAAGAGAAAGTGACTGACCTTTCACTTTTTTGGGTCCTTTATCATCCTCCACTATAGTGGCAGACTTCCTCTTGGTGGTGGTCTTTTTACCAGGCATGTCAGCAACACTCGAAAATCTGGTACAAAAAAAAAAAAAAAAAAGAGGACACTAATTGAATGACTCAGTCAAATCATTGGTGGGAAAAAAAAACTTCATGGAAAGGACAGGAGTTAAACAACTTAGGGGTCAAATATCCACATGACTGATTGAGCCACTTACCAAGCAAAACATTTCTCTTATTACAGACAGACACTTTTAGGACCTCGCATGAAGCAGGCGGTGTTGGGGCTGAACAGCTGTCTGTCATGTGAATAGCTTCTTTCACTGTACAGACAGCTGTGCTTCATCTGCTCTCACAGGACTAATGTCCGCAACAACAGTTACCCCCACGTCAGCCATTACCTTAAACTCCATGATAGACGGTCACCTTTGGAAAGTAGTTGTCTGGAGAGGGCTGTCACTTCTTTATGACTTAACATGGACGAGATACATACCCGGGTTTAAAATAGGCAGCGTGATCTAACAGTACCCATGTGTCGTAGCTACCGACGACCGGACGAACTACACATGACTGGACTTATTCAAACATTAAAAGTGGCTTCCATCTCAGAATATACCCAACAAAATCAACGCTTTAAACCTCACTGTAATAGTTGTTCGGCTATAGTTAGTATCTAAGCAATAGGTAGCGCCAAGAGGTGTTCGCTAGCAGGGGCTAAGGTTGACTAGCTAACGATGTTAGCATGCAACGCGCTGTTGAATGAATCTCAACTTTATGTGTCGAATCAAGAGTGCACACAGGAGGACATTCATGTTGTTTTCAGTGCCTGTCTCGTCCCTTCGGTCTTTCAAGAGGCCCATAGTGTACGAACCTGTAATAATGAAGACGGTTCTGTTTGCCTTGAGGTGGACGTGCACTGCCCGTTCCCGGTCTTGCTTGAGAAACTGAACTCACGCATGCACGACGTCACTTTGTGCGGAACGTCTGCGTCCTTAAAGAGACAGTAACACGACTGTCTGCAGTGATGCAGACCTACGGACTACACACGATTTATCTCATTTATAACAATCAATTTAAAGTTCTTGGACTTCCTCAAAGATTTGCGTTCAGAAATTTTAGCCAGAAAGTAAAGTTGATTAGGAAAATATTAACAACAAAAAAATCACATAAGTACAAAAATGTCTCGTGTAAAATGTATAAACCATAGGATATATTTTGGCCTTTTGTTTATTGTTTTGGTCTATTAGCATGTGGGCATATTTCAAATACTACCTTTTTGTTTAGTAGTACAATCTTTATCTCAATTTCCCTATCATTACATATGACTTTAATCGTCAACATTGGCTCATATGTGTAATATTGCAATTTTAACCAACAAAGTGATAAGTTATCAGCAAAGTTTAACACACCCACATTTGCACTTTGCAAATGTAGAGGGGGTTACTTAGTTGCATTTCTACAATTAAAATCTGTTTTCCAGATGTAAAGAAGAGGGTTGTTGAATACAGTCAGTGGGTAATCCTAAATATAAAAATACATATTAGACTGATACAATTCTTGAAAGCGTGCATGTGCAGTCCTTAATTTCAAGATTGATAAATACATTAGTAATATATCATTTCCTTTACTCATGAAAACCCAGGGTAAGATCCTTATGACAAAACCCACACTGCCACTAGGTGTCACTGCAGCCACATACTCAGACATCCCATATTAAATTCTTAACTGAATTTTTTTAAATGACTGAGTCAGGGTTACTGTTTCAGGAGACTGATGCAGTGTCACAGCACACACAGGTTGAGGAATTGTAATTAGTTTAATTAGCTCCAGATGTGAGTATTTACAAATAAAAAGAAAAGTCAGTCCATACAATTCCACATTCAATTAAAAATGAACTTTGTTTTACAGAAAAGGTACACTTTCATATTCCCATCATTCTTGTAGCATTTAATCAACTAACATTTTGTGCTTAAAAAAATAGCAACCTATCGTATTTTATATTTAAAATTATTTTTAAATGAAAGAAAGACAAGATATACACAAGCATCAATTTATACCTATATCAACCTGTACACAGCATGGAGAACCCTGTAAGCTACTGGCCACACAGCAATAGACAATATAACACTTCTGCAATTTCAAAAGGATCCAGCCAGAATGACTCCCTTTTGACCATTTCATTTGACATTTTCTGATTTTTTTAGATAGTTCCCTGATCTACACTCAAAGCATCTTGCATGAAACTATCTAGCTTGACCTTATTTCAAATGGCTACAGAACGCATTGCATGTTTGACCGTTAAAGGGAAGTACAAAAACTCATAAAAAAGTATAAATGAAGAGAGAGTACCCAGATACTCTGGCAATGGAATCTGTGTTGGCTCATGTTGTGGTTTGCATTAGTGGTATGAAAACTAGTGTCCTCTAGTCCTTTAGGCATTGGGTATGTTGGCACATTGAAAAAAAAAACAGCCTCTTTACCTTCACACTTTCCTATATCTAAATTAACACTTAAAATGGCAACCTCACATCACAACCATAAATACAGGCAAGCCAAATTATAAAAAGGCTCAAATAAAATCTGTCACTACTCAGGTGATCGAAATTACATTATAAAATATCTTGTGCATTACAGAACTTTTATAATTAGACCAATATTTTTAATTAGACCTTTCCAAATGTCATTCTAAGGTATAACAATAGCAGTCTGTACACAATTTATATAAAACATACACAATATCCCAGAGATGTCCAGTCCTAAAGCAGAATATCCCAGTCTTCATCCTCCAGCCTGCTCTCGCCATTCGTCTCTTATCGATTATTACTGTGGTGAGTATTATAAGCCATCATCTTTATTATTACTATCATATTTGTATGTTATCACATTAACAAGATGAATTAGCTATTCCATTTACAGAAAGAAGGGGGAAAAAGGCAACACAGAATGAGGCCGCATTAAAGGTTGTAACTAGATCCATGTCCCTGAGGGGGTACCACATAACAGCAGACTGAGAGTGAGCCCTGTGAGTCTTCTGCATCTTCTCTTCATTGGCACGCGGTTCCTTGTCGTCGGGGAGAAATACTGCATCTGGTCCTCACCTCCTCAGTTTAGTATAAGCAATGTAGTGGGAGGGCGATGGAGGGCAAGCGAGAAGCGTTCTGGTTTTCAGTCAGTTGCAGGCTGTCCCTGATACTCTTTACATTACATTCTGGAAACGTAAAAGGTCGGTCTGCAGATGGAGCAGCTGCTTGCCTCACAGATTTTTTAAGTGCTTCATTATCCGAGGAGGGGGGGGGGGGCTAAGGCCGATGAAACCTAAATGAAACAGAACATATCTTATAAGACATATAAAGACATTTCTATTCCTTAAAAAAAACAGAACAAGAAATCAAACAGTTTATGCTAACTATGAATAATATTTATTGTTAGGGGGAAGAGTCGATCGTTTCTGTGCTGAAATTTATACTTAAATACATTATCTATATAAAGAGTTATTGTGACATCAGCTAAATTGTAAATTCACTCTCTTAATACAATATCAAAGCTGTATTAAGAAACTGTTAATGCAAACGTTACCATTAAGTGTTTAGGAAACAAATAGGCTTTTATTGTGAAATCAACAGGAAACAACATCATTTTAAAAAGGTTAGTGCTGCAAACAGCAAACACATCAATATGAGAAACTACTAAACAACACTGAAGTAATATTCTGCTTCTATTGTCAAGTGATAAGTTTCAAATATTGCAGGGAGTAAGCGAACATTAACAGCCACAGAGAGCGGTTAGATGAAGAGTGCCAGAAAACAGGCTGTAAACCCCAGACTTCTTGTCAAATTTACCAACTTAACCATGAGGTTTTGGAAAATTTCTCACCATGTTCGTGTGCGAGATAGGTTGGTAGATTGAAAAGGGGCAAGTTTTAGAACTTTGAAACTTCATCTTTACTATACATTTGTTTATTTCGTCCGGCTGTGAAACAGACATGAAATCTCTCTGTGGTACTTCAGACAAACTAGCTGCATGCAGTAATTGCCGCATTTTTAAACTAAACCTACTGTTCAATCTGTTACCAAAGGTGTCAACAAATCAACCAGGAGTGAAATCTGGTAAAGGTTTACCTCGTGTAGATTCTGCTCTCTTCATGAACCTCCATTTCAGTGCTCTTATAGTCATTGAGCTCCTTCCGGATGGCCGCCTAGGTAAAAGAAAACAGTCAGTTAAATTTAAAGTTAAAAGGAAACCTGTGCTTAACATCACACTTGACTCTAATATAATGTGAAGTTCAAATGGCAGCCATGAGGTCTGTTGGGTTCATTTACTGGCTTTGTTAAGTGCTCACTGGAGATGGCAAACTGAGTGAAGTACCTTGTCAGCAGGAGTCAGCTTAGTCCACGGCTTGTCCGCTCTCCGATCATAGTCTTGGGCATCTGTGACTTCCACGTACTCATGGAACCGCAGGATTTTTCTTGCCTGTAGTTCTGCAACGGTGGGTCTTTGACTCAACTACAACAAACATCAAGTTTTATGTCAGCTTAAAATCTAGAAAATAAATGATTTTCCACCGGGATGTCTGTTGAGGATGTGTTGCCTCACCTTCCGGGTCAGCCGCCGCTTAATCTCCCTAACTTCAGCTTGTCTGTCAGCCTGGTTTTTAGCTGAAAAGAGAGACAGTTGGGAAAAAAACAGAGCTTTATTTAGAAGCTGCATGAAAGCCAAGTGTGATGTGCATCAAAGGAAGAGGAGAAGCAGTTTCCAAAATTAGACATCTAAACTGTAATCCATGCTCAAACTGTCTCATTAAGTGTAAAGTCCAGTTTTTAATGCATAAGAAAATATTACTCTTACAAATTGTACATTTTGAATGACTGGTATTAAATGGTTTCAACATGGCTTCATTATCAAAAATACAAAGAAATTGTATAAACAAATCATTGATCCAGTCTTAGCCACAGAATAAAATGTGAAACAAGACATGAGAAGTAGATTCCAAACATTGTTTACTGAACACAGTATCAGGTTAGAGAATGATAACAGAGGTGAAAAGGAAACAAAGACTTGATACTAACGCTGAAGGATGTTTCTTTGCTCCAGCTCTTCCGCAGTGGGTCTCTGGCTAAGTCGCCTGAAGAGGAAAAAGGAGAGGGACTATTTTTACACAGTCTCATCACGTTGTCAGTCAGCCAATAAGTAGGACAAAGATCTGAGAAACAGTCTGATTCTTTAGGAAATGCACACAGACTTTCGTCAGTTTCAGCGTATATAAAGATCTTAGATATGAACATCAATACACTGATGTCTGTCTTTACCTTGTGAGTGCGCTGCCGATCTGTGTGCGAATGGCCTCCCACTGCTCCCTGCTCTGCCAGGTGAGGCCGGTCTGTCCTGGAGGGTGGTTGTCCCTGATGCATCTCTCCTGGGTAAACCTGTCCCTGTCCCTGTCAGGGGCCGAGGGACGGCTGCTCAGCTTCAGAGCCAAGGTGTCCTTCCTCCTGACCCTGCTGGCCAGAGCACCTGGAGAACAGCCAAACAGAGATGTGATCAGGTTTAAAGAAGCACAAAAAGGTATACAAGTATCTTACAGAAGTCCTGAAACTGAAAACAAACTAAATAACATTAAACAATTTTTTTTATAAAATACAGTCATGCTTACTTGGAGGGGGCTCATCCTCTTCATCTTCATCGGAGTCTTCATCTTTATAAAGCACAGGACCTTCCGAGTCGCTGTCATCGCCATGCATGTCATTCTCTCCTTCTTCATCCTCATCTTCATCTTCCTCGTCCTCCTCCTCACTGCTGTTTCCTCCCGGGATGACACAAACACCGGCGTCTCCCACCAAGCATCTGCGGCTCCGAGGCTCCAGCTCCGGCTGGGGGATCTCCCCATCGTACTCCTCCTCCTCCTCGTCATCTTCCTCCTCTTCTTCCTCTGAATAGTCATCCTCAGATCTAAAAGATTAAGGAAATTAACACATGCATCAGCATTATTGTTTGTTTGTTTGTATGAAACTAAAGTTGAGGTAATGATGCACTAAAAATACTCAGTTTTTGAACTACATTTATCAAATTAAAATATAAAGATTCAACTATTAAAATAAAAATTTTCAGCCTGAACGGGTTTAAAATCCCAGCATCACCTTCTTAGCGATCACTTAACTTATGTGATCACCAAGTTACCTGTGTCAAGTTACCTTGTTTGATCTGTTCTGATAGCCTTGTCTAAAAAGGCCTTTTATTAATTATTCAATGAGAAACTCACAGTTTCAGTGGTTGGATGCTGACAGGAAGGGGACGTCCACGGTCTCCATGGTACTCAAGAGGTGTTTCAAAAAGCAGCGTGTGAGCTCGCTGTGACCCGTCTGGATGTGGCTGAGCAGGGCCGGGACTGGACAAGGCTCGCTGGATCATTATATGCAGCGGGACAGGGGCCGGGCGCTGAGGAGATTCATTGGTCGGGCTTGGTGGGTCAAACAGCATGGGTATGGGCTGGGGTAGTGGATGGGGGTAGGAGTGCTGATGGTGGAGGTGGTGGGTGTGTATGTGTTGGCGGGGAGGAGATGGTGGCTTGTGTGTTGGCAGGGGAGGAGAGGGAGGTGGGGGAGGCAGCTGGAATCCCACAGATAGGTTGCTGTGGTCTTCCAGAGAAAGGGGTGAGGGGTTGATGGGATGGCTCAAAGCAGAGGCGTCCTCTGTGTTGCGTTTGGTGACGGGGGTGGTCCTCTTAGGAGGCATGGGTGGGGAGGGCTTGGCTGACACAAGACTGGTTCCTCCTTGGTTGAAGTCGCCTGAAAATGAGGAAAATCATAAAGCGAAGTAGCAAAATGTTTAAACCTGTGAGTGAGCTGCAAACAAGAGCTTTATTTTTCAACCTACAAGTAGTTGCAGCTGTGCAATGAGCGTACAAGCATCAGCCCTGCATGTAATGTGCCCAACATGATAGAGTACATGTTAACAAACATAAATATTGGGATTACATGTGTCGCTGAACATTAGTATGTACATACAGTGCATCAGATCACATGACCATGTCAACATGAATGCACACATAGCCCTTATATACATATCAGTGTGCAGCATGTGCCCCAGGCCACAGTGTGAAAGGAGAGACATACAGCCTACATGCTCTACAAAGCCACAATCTAATCCTGCAATCAGACTGTTTGAAGGACTTTGAAAGGGCAAAGTCTCCTAACAAATAGTTCAAATGCAAACCCTCCTTTTATTTATATTCATGCACATGTGTATTTGCAAATACATTTTAACAATCTATAAAAAGTCATTCCAAGACTTAGCTGGGCTATTGTGGCATAACAACAAATCAGTGGTGCCAGACTTAAAACATGCAGTAGCTTAAACTGAACTGGATAACATGTCCTTTCTAAATCAGCTCCTTTTTTCAGCACACTTTCACCTCTCCATCCATCCCGTAATCCATCCAATCATATTCAATACATCCATCCATCCATCCATCCAAGCTGAGCAGAAGCTGACTGAATTAACAAAATCACTTGATGCATTGCAGCAGGCCACAGCAGGAACCTGCTGAAGGCTCACTCTCATTCACATGCCAAGTAAGAGAGTACAGTATAAAAAACGCAAACAGTTGTATCTCCTACTGTTTATATACAACCGGACCACTCATTATCAGCTCAGTAGATGCATGCAGCTCTTATATACACATCTAATAAGAAGCAAACACGGCCAGTCAGCAAGCTAAAGGCATTGGGCGGGGAAAATGTTTGCATCTATAGAGGACGCAACATGAAAAACGCAGACTCTGGAGGGAAGGAGAGGGTAGGGGGCATTCCAGACAATGGCACCCTGGCCACAGATACCAGGGGGTGTCCTTTTACCTGAGCGCAGGCCTCCGGCCCGCCGGCACAGGTAGACAGGTAAGGACAGGTAGACATCGTAGTCGCATTCTCGCTTCCAGCAGGACCAGTAGAGAGGAAGCTGAGCGTTCTCTCCCCCCTGCAGGGCGGAGACTATCAGGGAGGAGAGGAAGGCCTTCAGCTGCATTGTTTCATTAATGCAGGTACAAGGTGGCACTCTATATACCGGTATTATTGTTTTGATAGGGAGAGATACTGTTGCCCTATGTGCTATTGTTCTATTATCATTTTGCATTTTAAATTTGACATACTTCTCAACTGAAATATTCTATAATAATCTTCTTGTCAAGGGATAGCATCTCTAAGAGCCTAATATGAATCTTTAACATGGACAATGATAGCTTAGCCTTAAGATGCTAAAGCAGGTTGAAAGAGCCTGGCTTTGTTAAAATGTAACTGGATTACACAAACAGCTTCAAAACTACAAAAGTAAAGAACATTTGAAAAAAACAAAGTCTCTTTAAAGTGCTAAGCTTAATGATTTTAGACTGCAGCTTTATATTTGACTGAATGATAGCAGGGTAGCATATTTTTTTCTCACTCTGAGCATAAAAAAAAAAATATATATATGTGCATTTCCCAAAATGTTACTCAACTCTTTAAATGGTCATTGGAAGTATCTTTAGCTTGGATTTCTGTAACACCTGCTTGTGGTAGTCCAAAGTTGAAAATGCAGTTTGTTTTCAAAGTGAACTGCATTGTGTTTTCTTTTCATAAACCACTAAAGATTACTAATAATGGCCTCCAGTGACACCAACAAGTCATCTTGAAATATTTACCCCGTTAGTCTAGTCACAAGCCGATCTGATGAAAAGACTGATTCACACCTCACAGTGTATCATAAAAACAAATCAGCCTAATTCAATAATATAGACACACACACTACTAAAGGCATGAAAAGAAGTGCATAAAGCATACCATCAGATTGGCTAATGAGATCAAAATGAATCAAAGACAGCCTTGCCCAGGTGGGAATTACAGTAAGGTCCCAGATGAGACAAACTCACAGTAAACAACAACAACAACCACCACACTGTGCCTGTGTGAGCCACATCCACAGAAACAGGACTCCCCGTTATCGTCAGAGCGTAAAACACAGAGAAATGTTGCAGCTAAAATAGTCCAGGCGTAAGAAGTAATGAGCAGCCGAGAAGCTGCTCAAGCTGTTCAGGTAACGTGTGTGTGTAGCTGACTTTGCTGAAGACTTCTCTTTGCCATCCGTTGTGCACTGACTCATAAATGTACAATGGAAGAACTACATGCTAACTGAGCAGACGTTTGAGCGTTCATAATGCACATCTGTGACTGTGGATTTGTGCTGCAGGTGATCATGCAGACGGCCTTCATCACCTGTAAACAGAAGCACACACTTTGCAGCAGATCTTACCCAGCATGGTAGCGTTGCCCCTGTTCATTGGCTTGGGCGGAGGCTGAGGTGGCTGCTTGGTGCCCTGAGAGGTGGAGGTGGAGGCTAATCCTGAAGACGGTTGGGTGGACGTACCAGCAGAGGAGACGGACCGCCCAGGTTTGGACGAGGAGGCGGAGGGAGAGGAGTACTGGTTCCCATGGTGGTTGGATGGGGTGCGAGATGCACCTTTGCTGCAAGGCTCGGTGGTTGTGGTCATCAGCCATTTTGGAGGCATGACAGACTGTTTGGGTGGCAGAGGTTCGCGCAGGGTGTCCCGCAGGGCTTCTGGGTCAGGGATGAAATGGCTCTCTGACTCTATTAAAACACAGTACCAAGTGGATATGTTGCATAATTAATTGTCATTTTATCAAAATAACTCAGGTATTCCATTCAATCCAGGGTGAGAAATTTTAACAAAAATGCCAGAAATGCTTTGAAACCCACATCCAGCTGTGGGACAAACAATATTTTACTGAGCAGGTGTTTAAAAAATGCTCTTTTATCATCTTCATTATTGAATTAGTGATCTCATTATAAAATACCTCTCCACATGGCTATAAATGTTTCAGTTCAGGGACTGAGAAGTAAGCCATTTCTGCTGCAGAGCACTCTGTGATAGCACTTGTTTGAGAACTGCATTATCAGGGGATCAGCTGTGAAGATAAACAGAGTAGGCGGCTGCAATTACCACCAAAAACCCACATCCCTCTGCCCACCACACAACACCCTCCCACGGTGCTGCAACTCCCACACCATTCCTCAAACATGTGACTCTGAAGTTCGGGGTTATTTATTTACCGACAGACTTTTTAAATCGCTGTGACATCATGCAGCCAATGAGGAAATAGTCTGGAGGAAAGAAGGAAGTGAAATATAGAACAAAGAGAGCTGGGGATGTGATAAAGATAGAAAGAGAGTGGGAGAGGGAGAGGAAGAGAAATGTAGAATCAGAGAGAGAAGAGGAAAAAAAAGGGAAAATGCTATATGGGACAGAAAACAGCTAGACAGAATCACATTACCAATAACTGAAAGAAAATATCTGTTCACCTGAAAATTTGACGATAAAATAAGGACACCTCTTGATATAGTAGTGCTGCATTTCAGTTTCTTGCATTGTTTCTATATCCTATCTTTAAAGATGCCTTTTTGACTTTTTTGGATTGGACAGATGAAAAGACACAGGACACACGGGGAAGTGAGAACAGGGATTCATGCACCTGATGCTGCTAGTCGGAGTCAGACCTGTGCTGATTGCCAACAACACTGCATAGTAAGACATTCTTTAAAAAAAAAAAAAAAGGGGGCCAAAATGCAACCTCTGAGTTTTGTTGCTGTAACCCACACGTGTATCACTTTGGTTTTCTATTATCTCAAAGACCCACTTAAGGTAAGAACAGCTGAAGCAGTAAACCAGTCTCAGTTGTTAACCTATCATATGTTATATAACAAGGTTGTTTCACAAGGCGTAAGTTGGGTAGTATCAGTTTGTTGTATCTCTTAACCAAGTCTCCCTGAGTTGACAGTGATAGCGTTTAAGAGAACTAATGGGTTTGGTGATTGTGCTATATTAATTAGGAGACGAGAAGAGAGGACAAGCTATTCCCTCATGTTCCTGAATAAGAAGCTGGTAGCTGGAGCAGGGCCCACGGGAGCGACAGGAGCCCGTCTTTATCTGGGAGGACAGCACATAGGCAGGAAAGCGATAGCAAGAGGGAGTGAAAAGATGACATAGCTCTAAGAATCGCTGATTATCTTCAAACATGAATGAAGGAGGTCATGTGTTAAAATAAACTTATTTTCTTTGACTTTCTCACTATGAGGAAAACTTTGCAGGATCTTATGATCTAAGTTAAATAGAGGTGGAGGGATAAATAAAGGCAATAACACACCTCTGCGAGCTCTTCCCTCCTCAGCAGATGCATGTCGAGGGAGTGTTGGCTTCCAGTCCGCTTCTGCAGGCCGACTCCTCCTGCAGTCCTCTGATGGGGCCTTCTGCAGCCCGGGTCTCTTCTGCCCATCCTCGGGGTGAAGTCTCCCCCCACGTCTGCAGTCCTCCATCTGGCCATGAATCTGGCCCTGCCAGATCATGTTAGGTTTCCATTCACCCTCAACATGTGCACGTGACCCTCCCCCTCCCCCTCTCCACCCGTCTTCATGCTGTCCCGTGCCTCTGGAGCACAGAGCGCCCCGACGTTCCCCGTCTGAAGGAGAGCGACCCCTGCGGTCATCTGGCTGGTTGAGCCAGGCCGGGTTCATCCTATAGTCGGACTCTGAAGGAAGTTTGCCCTGGTTGCATGGGCTCCTAACACCACAGTGACCTCCTCCTCCTCCCACTACCACCCCAGAGCTCAGTGGTAGAGTGTGGCCGTTCTTCACATAGGGCTGCTTTGGCGTCTGTGTATCTGCATCTGAAAAAGTGGACCAAGATGAGATCGAGACTCAGCAGTTTTCTGAGTTATCACGCAAGTACGCTACAAGAAAAGTAAATATTTATTCCATCTAAATAATTCAAAGTCTTTTATACTGACAGTGTCTTTGTGTGGTATTGAAGAACACTTTGGTGGTTTTTTGTTCGAAAGTCGAAAATTCTGTCAAAAGAAAATGTATCTACACCAATAGTGTTTTCTTCAAATTAGAGTTAACCTTCAGGTCAGGTGTATACAGAATATCTACTGGTTTTGTACTGCTTATCTAGTCTTGTGTTTCAGAGACATGGTGATGGACATTTCTATTTCACTATTTTAGAAATCCACTGATAAATTAACAAAAAAAAAAGAACAGTTTTACTGATTATAATTTAATCTTTACTGTAAAAAAAAGGAAAAGGTGCCCTTTTCCCAAACCTAGTAGATAGTTTTGTTTTTGTGTGTTTCAGCAGCTGTAGGTTTTTATAAATGGGCTTCTGCACCAGTGGGGCCGGCACTATGCTTGCACACACCCCTCTCAAAGCTATTTTTCTGCAGGGCACAATTCGTTCTACTTCCTCTCAGCTCCAGAGAGCGGCGTGCCATTTTAAACATATATTAATTTGAAACACAGCAAGGTAAAAGTCAATTTGTCGGTTTAAATATGTCCCAGACACCGGCTGGTCAGGAGGACAGTGTTCCTGCCATTATGTACTGATGACTTCACTGTACTGTCTGTGTGGGTGTGATAGCCTCAGGGCCTCTGCTGTGCAAAGAGATCAGATGAATCACAGAGGCGTCTTTACCGTTGTCCGGGACTTCCTTCAGCACTCCCTGTTCGATGAGCTCCTGCCGGGTACGCCTCGTCGACATCTTTCTCTCCAGCTCTGCCGTCAATAAACAGAACTGAAGTTTACACACAAGTTTTATGTTTCAAGGGCTCCACAGGGTAAAAAGAACTGCAGTGAAATGGGTCACATTTAGTGTGTGACCTCATGCTCCATGTACAAAGATTTAAGTTTGGAGCTCAGGAAATTTTCATTGCAGTTTTTTTTTCTTAGTACAACTTGCACTGAAAACTTCAGGGGAGTCAAACAAGGGCAAACATACAGGCATAGAGAAATCTTGATGAAAGCTGAATGAAACCAAAATATCAGAAAGAAAGGAAGGAGGTGCACTTGCTCTGCCTACACAATAAGTTCACACTACAAACCTTCTGAAGTTTCCTGGAACTTATCGCTGCTTTTCTTCTTCCGCCACTTCCACGGCTTGAAGATCTTGCCAAGGGTAGAGAACTTGCCCTTGCGCTTTGGGGTGCTGTCCCCCGTGCTGCCCCCCTCTCCCACCATTGTGCCGTGGTGTTGCTCAGATTCATCATCTAAAATGAAAGCATGGGTTCGGTTAAGAATTAAACTGATACTATGTGCCACTTACATCAAGACACAGAAGATCAGACAACGAAAGGATGAGGCTGATCTTAACAAATCTTCTCCTTCAGACAAACAGGGGAAAGTTTTTTTCCCTTTTGTCAGAACCGATGTTTAGCTAGGGTTATCAGGTGATTTGAGCGTTTCATGAATCCAATCTGTCCCAATAACTTGAAGCATGCTTAATAATTAAGGTTTAAAGTTCACATTTTCTGCAAAATACATGTCACCATGTTTTTTTTAACACTAATATGTGTCCCTAGTCTGTCTACAGACCCCCCAATTTCGAGAAAAGTCAATCCTCTCTGTCCTTTGCCTTCTCCACTTTTTAGAAAATGTTTGCTCAAATAGGTCGTTTGGAGATTTTCCCTTCATGACATCACAAAGGGCAGTAACCCCTCCCCCAGGTGGGTGACACTCCCACAGCTAGGTGTTTGTTCTGCCCTCTGAGTCTGCCTTCTCTCCATAAACAATCGGGCATGGTGCAAGAAAGCCAAGGCTCCAAACCCTTCCAGAGGGGCGTGGTCAGACACAACTCACATGCATTTAAAGCTACAGACACAGAAACAGCCTGTACTGAGCAAGGGCTGAAATAGAGGGGTTTATAGGCATGATCAAATACAGGATCGGAGTGGATTTTTGGCAAGAAAATTCACAGACATGTTTCGGGGACCTCTGAGACTTATTTAAACTTGTCGAAAAGGAGCATACTATGTGACATTTAAAATGAATATCAGTGAATTCGTCAGTACTTTCAGAGTAGGACCACAATAGCTAACAAGTTAGAGAAAAAGAGAAGGAAACAGAGCTGCTGCAGTGTTTCCAAGCAGAGGTAAGCTGTCCACCCTCTGCTAATGATAGCTAGCATGCTACTGCCAAATAGGAACAGTTACAATCTCACATCCTGTTGTTGCTCTAGAACTGACTACCTGAGTTTACTGTGTCTCCCCAAACCTTTTCTTATCCAGACTTAATATACCTTCTGTAATTGTTGATTTCACTGCAGCCAGAGCATCACTGAAGCAGGTTGTTGGTCTCAACTTTATTAAAACCTGCTTCACCTTGAGGTCACGTGAGACCACAACAAAACATTTGAGATGTTAAGTTTATGCCTCAGGCACACACGTAAATCTCTATAAAACCATTTGTTGAAAGATGTGCCACTATTTTCACATTTGAAATAAAACGTATAATTGTCAAGTTTCTCCTTGTGTATGTGATGAAGAATGATTCTGAACTCAGTTAGGATTTTAAAACATCTCTTGTGTGAGTCTTTTCTTAGAGTATAGATCCATCAGTAGTCACAGTACTGGGCTGTGCTCATTAGGGCTGTTATTATCTTTAGCTGTTAGTTCTCGGGGACTCAGTGTGCTTTGGCAGGGTGATGCTGAGAGCTCATAGACTCCTCCACGAATCCACAGTTAACAGGAGAGGTCTGATGCTGGCGATCAGCCAGAATTTCTCACTGTCAAGTGCTCACATTCCTTGGCTGGATGGAGACTGGTGCCTTATCAGCCTTTCAGCCCTCTCTTTCTCTATACAGAGGAGAGGATCACACACAGATTTGAACCAAACAGTAAAGACAGTAAAAGAAAAATTGTTAAGCCATCACACATACAAACTGCTAACATCCAGAAGCCAAACCTTAAATACTGCTTAAACATTATAATTATTAAACATTATTGAGAGGTCACCTGAAGAGGTGCTGAACTCAGAGAAGGTTTAAAACATCCATTGATTCTGTCAGGCTGCAGCTACTCTATTCAGCAGACATAATATTTACAAGCTGAGGAAGAATAGGGTCCGATTTAAAACATCCAGTCTCATGCAAAAACAGGAAGTTCGACAACAACAATGCTTTGCAGTTTGACTCCCACAACAGCATATTCTCACACAATACCTACAATACAGATGTAGCACACGTAGAAGTCTAATAAAGAATGTAGTGTAACAATAACAACAACAATAACCCTAACAACAGGGTTAGCTGAGGACCAGCGCCCCTAGAGATGGCAGGGTTTCAGTTTCTAGCTAAGGGACATTTTAGAATAGTGAACAGTTGCTGACACAGTATTCAAACCCATTTTTGCAGCTGAAGGACAGAGTCTTTAACCGCTGCTCCACGCAGCTACCTCAATGCTGCTGGCGGGGTAAAATTTGAACTCAGTGCTTACATAGTGTTTAAAAAGCCTGACTGTTGGTCAAACGTCCAAAACAGCTCTAATCAGAACTTCCTTCCAATTGCACAGCTGTCAATTCAAATAGTGAAACGTGTTGTTTCTAAAGAGTTGCATTTTGAAAAGGTTCTGAAAAACTGAAATCCGACTACCTTGAAGAGGGATGTTAAGGGTCCAGCTTCCATGGTGGCGGGAATTGAAGCAGCATGCCATGGGGAAGCAAAGAGCATTTGAAAAACCCAAAATCAACAGTCCAGTTAATATCCCAAAAGAAAATGGCTGAGGGACAAGTAGCAGAGAACAGTTTGAACCTACAGCAGAGAGGGTCCAGGTTCAAGAAACATGTTTGCACCATGGAAATCCAGCTTATCCTGGCAATGTGGAAATACGAGGATTCAAACCAGCTGCCATAACATCCAGATTAAGTGTTGCTTAAGGCAGCTTCCCTGTGAACCAGAAGTGAGGTTCTCACACAGCAGACTGCTCTGTCACAGAAGCCGCTGACACGGTGGCTCAGCTGAAGCCAGTGAAGCAGGATAAGAGCTGCCTGTGCCAGGCCCACACACTCCAGAGCACTGCAGAGATGATGATCGCACAGGACTCAGCCCATACAGTAGGCATCTATTTGAAGAGGATGACTGAGCATATCCTTAGGAGACTTTCACATTAGCCAGCGATGCTTGATTCTAAAAAGGTGACAATCCACTGACGAAATTCGAGGGGAAAAAAAGAAGACAAAAAGTACTGTACGTCCATCTTGATCAAAAAATTGAAGGGCTGTGGATCCACACAAACGAATTCATCAGACGCAGAAAACAACTCTCCAACATGTCATTGTTTAAGCAGTAGTGAGAAGGCGTCTGGTGTGTAGTGACACTACAGCTGAGTGTGACCAGGTCACAGGGAGTAAAGACGAAGAGAGAGCGACAGAGAAAAAGTACAGGAGTTATGGAGTTTGGGGGGGGGGGGGGGGCAGCCTGGAAACACAGGGAGGAAACGACACTCCACCCTGATTCTGTGACCAAGAACAAAGACAAGCGCTTCCCCTCACACACAGTATCACAGTGCACTGTGCTGCTCATGGAAACACAGAGCTACAGATAAATACCAACATATTTTCATTCAGAACAAAGCCAGAAACAAAATTACAATAGTCATGCTCTGTAATCAGGAGCTATGCAAAGATAAGGCGTACCAGTCAGGAAACGTATGAGGGGGACTTTGTGTGTGTGTGTGTGTATATGTGTGTGTGTGTGTTGCCAACGTACCCCTATCCAGAAGCCACACACACACTCTCTCAGACCTCTCCCGCATGGGCCAGATTTCCCTCTAACCTCATGATTCTATGAGTCATGGCAGGCTTGGTCAGGTGAGCATGTGGTTAAAGGAGATTGTTATTTCAAAGGACCAGGCAGACCTGAACACTTACTTGAGGTGGTTAGGAAATACCTCCAACCTCATTATGACCTAAATCTTTGCCAGGCCAGCTTATAAATCCTGATCCACTTAATTGGCAGCTCAAACATGTTATAATCACTACATTGGTACATGTGGAAAATGTTGCACCTCCTGTGCCCAACAGTATACAAAAAAGCACATTGATAGTATGTCAAGTAAACACCACAGAGAGCGCTGCATTAAACTTCTTCCAGTCCAAAACACTCTGTTTTCAAAAACTTTCATGTACAAAAACAAGTGATGCATGAGTGTGTAAAAACACAGCAGAGACTCATCCACATGATCCCAATGATTTAACATTCTTTGTGCCAGGGAAAGTGAAGAGGGGGGCAGAGAAAGGAGAATGGGTAAAGGAGATCAAACATCCCAAACCTTCATCTCTCCTCTGAAATATATTGAATAACTGGAAAATAGTCAACTGAGCTCAAGTTGAGATCATGCAGAGTGCAGGAGTGAGTTCAGAAGCTCACCTCCATTCTTGTTTTGTTGTTGTGGGTCCTTAGCCTGGGTTTCCACACGAAGGCTCTGTCCCATGATCCAGCCCCTGAGGGGCTTCTACCTGTGCTGCACCCAGAAATGTGCACTGGACAGATCAGTAGCCACACCTGTTGCCCTCCTTTTTCAAAAACGTCCCCAGGTCTCCTCAATGTCTTTTCGTCTCCTTGGTTTCTCTTGTCTACTTTTCCTTGGCGGTTTTCAGCACAGTCCTCCCCCCTTTCCTCCCTCCTGCAATCTGATGTTCCCTCCCTCCAGGAGCTGGACTCTTTCTCCCCCTCCCTAACCCTCCCTCCTTGGCTCATAGCTCAGGTCAGCATTCACTAAAAGATGCCTACCATTCCTGGGAGTGGGCAAGTTATGTTTTCAATTTGATGTGTGTGCTGCGGTATGTGGTGCTATGTGTGCATCCACTAATGTATGTGCAATGAAATGTTTGCATTATGGTGCTGTGGCTCTGAAGAGAACAATGCACTCTTTGATCTTAACACTTTGAAAAGGGCCACACACAACTATTTAAAAGCATTTAAGCAAAAGAGCAAGTACTTTTCAGAGCTCAGACTACATCATATGCAATGAACACAATTATATGCCACACAGGCTGGTGAGAGTTTTCTCTGCCTTTCATGCTGTGAGGAGATAACAAGAACTTAGGGCAGTGATATAAGCAGGTTTGTTTTACAAGCTTTTCCTTAATTAGTTGGACCCAACTTGGCCAAAGAAAATCACTTAATTTAGTTTTTGAAGTGGAGGATGGAAAAACAAAGAATTGGAGACTTTTCAATCAATGCCCTCAATCAGGGAAAATGTTACACATGCTGTAAAATAGCTGTATAAAGGCCAAGTTTGTCTGTGATGCAGCTCCATATCAACACATACACATGAACAATAGACAAGATGCTCAGCAATATAAGAGCTTATCATTTAACACAGAACTAACAAAGACAAAAGGGATCCCAAAGTCCACCTTTACATACAGGAAGAAGTGTTAATCAGACGCACATTCCGCCATTCATATATCCAGTGTGCACATTAGTTTGAGACCACTACTGTCATTAGAGCAGGCAGAGGGTGTTAATCAGCTGCGTACCTCTCTTAATATCTCTTCAGACACTACTTTATGCACAGCTCCAAGTCTCTTACCACAATTTCTACAGTCTCAAAGGCATTAGCATGACTTTGAAACGTGTTAACCAAGGAGAGATACACTTTGTAGGGCTTGTATACAACTCAGAGGCAGGGCAGGAGGAAAGGACAGTTTTTTTTTTTTAAACTAGAGACAAAAAAGGAGTGCAGGCTGGACCCCTGAATTAGTGCTTTGATTCCTTTTGAGGTTTGTCTGTCTTCAGAAAACCTTGTTCTCTCCTCAGAGGAATCCAGTGCTGTGAGCTGTGTCATTATGCCTGGTAGATCAGAACTTTCTGAGCATTTGGCTGCATCTCAGGCTGTTTTCTAAAGATGGAGAGCTTGTGTGTTCGGCAGCGTTCCTTTTCTCTCCCCGTGCCCCACATACAGACTCCACACCGGGCCCGCTTCCAGAGAGAGCTGAGCCAATCTGCATGAGCCCAGAACCTGTTGGCCTGACCTGGATAACAGACTGGACTAGGCCCCTTCAGCAAGCCGGCAGATTGTGGCAGGTACACAGTACGGCACGTGAACATACGCTGCCCTATGGACAGTGCTACAATACTCTGAATTACTGCTGCAGTCTCATTCAACACAAGTCTTTTTAAGAGCTGTTTCTCAAGCAATTAGGTTAACACCTTATCTATTGATGTTTATTTTGTTGCACTAACAGAACATTTAAAAAGGGTTCAAATGACCTGCATCGAAGGAGTAAAAAGATTGTAAATTGTTTCTATTAGGGGTGGACCGTTATTGTTTTTTCAGGGCCAATTTTCAACTGATTATTAGCAGTTCATGAGAGTGATTGAAATGCTCAACTGCTCCAGGCTGCTCACATCTCTGCGCGTGTCAGTGACACCCCGGCTTTATTGTGGATTGGCCGTTACTCGTGTGACGTTTAGCCAATCAGATAATGTTGACGATGGAACATTAAGTGAGTGGTGAGTGAAAACAGACACAGAGGGAAAAACACCTGCAGCGAAGCCAAAGACGCGCACTTTTTAATTAATTAATTAATTTGATTGGCAATCGGTAAATTAAAACGCTTATAAGGATAATCAGCAAGGTGCGAATATGCCGACATTCGCATTTGGCTGATTATCCTTACAAGCCTTACAAGCCCTGATAATTTGACAGGTCAATAATCTGTCCAACCCTTGAGAGGGCTTGCAGTTTTTTCCAATTATTACTATAATGTTTAAAAATATTTTTGATAATAATTAATTGACTTTCTTGCAGAAAGCTACAAAAGAAAACTGATATTTCTCTCAAGTTCAGTTGTCAATTCAAAGTAGCCAGTTAGCTTAGCATAAGACCTGAAACAGCTAGCTTGGCTCTACCCGTGTTTAAAAAAGAAAAACAACAGGCCAAATAAAATGAAGGTACGTGTAAAACAAATAACACATTTTCTACATATTTTCACCAAGTAAATCAAATGAAATTTTCAGCTTAACTGAGCAGGGTTCAAACATAGATGGTTGTTCTCTCAGTTGAAGTATGCAGAGAGCTTTTATGAAGAACAGTAGATCTCTTTTCAGTTATATTGAGATAAGAATTAAGAGTTGCTTTTATTATGAAGTTATCACAGGAAGTCTTATATGACAGTAACTTCAGATTGCTCAGTGTATGCACATTAGACATTTGAAAGTCCTTATTGGCAGATGTGTTTTGCAAAAAGGAACTTGTAAGCTGAAGAGCTAAAGGTTATGGTAAACAAACAAAAAATGTGGCTAATCAGGGCTAACACTTCCCTTTCCTGCAAAGCTGCTGGGATTACACGAAAGGCAGAGTCAGTGTTGCCATGCCAATGTTAGATAGCAGTAAATCACCTCGTCCTAACACAGGGAAGCTCACATTCTCAATATCACACTCAAAAACAAAATTTAACTGAAACACTGACACCCAAGTTCTTCACCTAACCACCTCCTCTGAAGACACACATAGCACACAGATCTAGCTCTATATATAGATATATCCATCTTTGAGAAAACTCTGCTTTGAGAAGAGGAGATCTATGGCTCGATTCATCAGTGGCTCATAAAAAGCAAGAAGGACTAAACAAACTTTAGTAAACACAGTGGATGTGCAGCAAGAAGAGTGGACCTACTGCTCTCTCCTCAGCATTAACACTGCACTTAACAAACCACAAAGAGCGACTTGGTACTCACCACGATTTTCCATTACAGAGTTTGAGGCACACCAATCAACGGGTCCTGAAAAACAACAGTTTGAGCGTCAACACCCGTTTCACATGCACACTTAGAGGTAAACCAGGGTAGAAGAAGCGGTCATTCGGTTTTCAATGAAACCTTTTTCTGGCAACTGATGCTCCAAAGAACATAAACTCTGCGGTTCTGGGATTCACAAGATAGTCAGTCTGAAATGTTTTCACTCAAATTCCCTTGGAGCAATTTTTATTACATTCATGATGAAAGTATTTGAAGTATCTAAGACAAAGTCATGTGATAAATCAAAATTATCCTTGACTACTTTAAAGCAACATTCACAACCAAACATCACACATTAACTACAGTGCATTATTCTTTGAATTGAGTCATGTGTTTTTTTTGTTTTTCATGAACTGGTTAATCTTGATACGATGAAACAATTTGATCTTATGATGAACACATTGCAGAATTCATAGAAACATCTCTAAGCTTTATAATATCAAATTAAAAAAACGTTATGGTAGAGTAATTCATCTTAAATGTAATACACAACCACATTATAATTAAAGGAGATGCATGACACTGTACTCTTTCTAAATGGCCTTAGCATCCTTCAGTCTGGATATAAGTGAATATTAAAAGATACAGACGTACTTTATAGAAAGTCATGGGTGGGGTTGGGGTGGTTGTGGTCCTCAGCAGCAGTAGATCAGTATATTTCAGGTCTCCAGCATGCTTAAGATGGCAGCTCCACCCATCTTAACCCCTCTGATGAAGACGAAGAAAAGAGTTCAGATCATGATGTTCATAAATAGAAGCATAGCTGCAGGTTTCCTTACTACAAAGAACACACTAAACAGGGTGACCTCGTTTACATTTGGCATAAGGTATGACCTGTTTTTATATCATAAAATATAAAAGGTCAAGCTAATTGAAAGCGACTACAGTGAAGTTACACTTCTTAACACCTTCAAGAGGGCCAAACAAAAGCATTTAAGTAAAAGAGTAACTAGACATTTCAGAGCTCAGACAACATTATATGCCAACAACATAATGACCTGCCACACACAATGTGTGTACAGTATACAGTGTGTAGATAGGACATATTAAAGCTCAGGGGCAAACATGCCATGTTTGCTGCTTATTTTTAGCTTTCTAACTTCAGCAAATCTGCTTTGAACATAATTTTTTCCAAGAACAATAAAGGATAGACCAAAACAGAATTTGTGAAGCTGTACACAGTCTGGAATGGGACGCAGTAAAACAAGAAGTGTATGTATTTGAAGGGTGGAAGCAGCAAACAACAAATACCTTTATAATGAGAAACATAATATCACAGTGTGTGAGAACATCTTAGAACACACAGTCTGCGAACACTTGGATGGACTTCAGCAGAACAGCACTGCAGACATTTTCAATCAGACAGTGATGCTCAAAACTAGACACCTCCGAGGAAACTGACTCGTCTTGTTTATGGTGCTAAAGTCTGGTAGGAGAACAGTTTCTTGGCATACAGTCAGGTCGAATGTTCCTACTGGGCATTGTTCAAACTATTCACATGTGAAAAGTCAAAAGCCTCTCACTAAAACTCTTCAGTCATGTAATTAAACACTCTTGTTGCCTGGGTGCAGCACTTCAAAACCACTTTCTAACCCTTGTAAGTACGTGAAGTGAGCAATTTCGGTATGGCAATTTTTTTCTGTTTGCTGTTAATTATTTTGGCTGACTCAGCTCGCAAAGTAAATACCAACCAGGGTTGATTTCTTTCTGAAATATAAAAGGCAAACACGAGCAGTCCAGCCAATATGTTATTAAAGATGACGAACCAAAGGCAACGTCTCCCACCCACTCCATGGTGTGCTGG